AGCGTAAGTACAACATCGTAATCACATTTATAGTGTAATGCGAAAGAGGTGGTGGTATGGTGAGGAACAGAAAGGGAGTAGTAGGGCTCAGGAGGGAGCCACAGTTCTCTGAGAAAACTGTTTTGTATAGTTCTGACTTTTATAAGCACAGCAATTATTTCACCTAGCTGCCTAATACCCCAAACGCCACAAACAAAACAACTAGCATGGGGGGAACCCAAATTGTAATACAAGCAGTTTAACAAATGAACTGAACTTCTCCCAAATGGATAGAAGAACCACACCAAAAGGAGTAAAGAAAAAAAAAAGGACTAACCCAGGTAACTTTGGTCAATAGTATCTTCATCGGATATTATAAAGCTTAAGACAAGAAAACTGTACGTAAAGGCTATAATTTAGTAAGTACATGTTTTTCTCATAGGAGCATGAGTTAGCAATCCTGAAACTATATTAGAATTAGGTAAATACATCTATTGTAGATAATGACATCTGGGTTTCTCACTGTTAGACAAAGAAGCTATAAATGAAACAGGAGGGCTAGAATGAACCTTGACTGTTAGGTTGAAATTGGTGGCACCATTATAAACTCACGGTCTTAAATATATATACACACCCAGAGATAGATACAGAAATATAGATGTGTGTGTATAACTAGGTTAGTCTACACACACATATTTCTCAGCTCTGTCCACCGAGAGCACCTAGAAACAACATTCCAGTAGCAATAAGCATGCCTCACACCCAAATCTTAGTTTCTAAACACCTTTCTCCAATAGAAGGAACCAGAGCTTCCTAAGGAAGTCATTAATTCCAGGCCTGGGGCAGGGAAAACACAGATGAGTCTGGAATGCTGTTGGTGCTAGAAAGTTAATGAAGCGCTCAAAAAAGATGGGGTTCCTCCGAGGGACACAGAAGCCAAACTGAAGGAACTCTTAGTGGCCAAAGCTGGAACAGCATGAGCAATAAAACTGATAATGATAGTACTGGATTATAAATGAAAGAATAAGACACATCCACGAGTCCATACTGATATACTTAACCAATTGAATAAATAACTAAAAAAGCAAAAAAGATGGCCCTTCCTTGCAACAGAATTCCAATGAATAAATGTGGAAGAAAAGAGTGAAATAAAAAATCACTACTAGACATAGTAGCTGTTGCAGTCAAAATCCACTGATGGATACTAAAAATAGTTGGGTGTGAGTTTGGGGAGAAGCACGATTTTTGCATAATCTCAAAGTATCTGTCTGCAAAATATTTATTAGTCACAAAGTGAAAAATGGTAACTTTATAGTAAACTCTGAAGAGACCACCTTAACCAAGCGATGAAGGTTAACATTACCATTAAGAAGACATGTCGATATTACAAATCCTTTGAAGTGACAATTTATGTGGCATTTTTGCCAAAATGGAATAACCTCATTCTAAGCTTGAGGAAACTTTACATGAACCCAAACTGAGGGATATTCTAAGGAAGAGGTAACCGGGACTCTTCAAAAGGATCAAGGTCATGAAGCAAAGAAAGGCTGAGAAACTGTCACTAATTGGAGGAGACTAAGGGGACATGATCACTAAATGTAATGGGAGATCCTGGATTGGATCCTGAAACAGAAAAAGGGCATTATTGGAAAAACGGGTGAAACTTCAACAAGGTCTACAGTTTAGTAAGTAGTGTTATACCAGTGTTAATTTCCTGGTTCTGAACATTGTACAATGGTTACATAAGATGTTCTAATTGGGGGAAACTAGGTGAGGGGGATATGGGAACTCTTTATCCCCCTGTGCAGTTTCTGAAACTTTTCTGCAAGTCCCAAATTAGTTCAAAATTAAAAGTTAAACAAAGAAAATAATTCTGCAAGTTTAATTAGTTCACTAGAATCATTTATGTCTCTCTGTGTGTGTGTGTGTGTGTGAGTGAAGTATTTCCAGGAATAACTTCTCAGTGAAATAAAATACTGAATGCTGCCATGTTTGGATCAAAGAAGAGACATTCTGACAAATACTCGCACTCCATTAATTCATTCTAATAAGCATAGTTGTTTTAATATTTAGACTGCAATCTAAAGCTCCAAAACTCAAGTTAGGTTTATTTGTTAACAGACATCATAAGATGTACTTTTTTCCTCTCTGGGGATTTAGGGAAGACCCTGTTGTTTTTGGTTGTTTGATATATAGATACGTTAAGTTCTGGAATACATGTGCAGAACATGCAGGTTTCCTACATAGGTCTACATGTGCCATGGTGGTTTGTTGCACCCATCAATCTGTCATCTACATTGGGTATTTCTCCCAATGCTATCCCTCCCCTAGCCCCCACCCCCGACAGGCCCCGGTGGGTGATGTTCCCCTCCCTGTGTCCATGTGTTTTCATTGTTCAACTCCCTAGGGAAGACCTTCCTGAGGGAAGCCCATTGGCAGTGAGAGGCCAAAGTCTGAGCAGGAGTTAGCTGCAGATAGAGTGGGACAGTGGCATTCTAGCAGAGGGGCTGCCAGTATGAATCTCCAGTAGGAACTTCCGGAGGAACTGCCACTATGAGTGAGATGGGAAACACTTTGGCTTGCTCTGGGAAGTAGAAAAAGGCCAGGATAGCAGGAACTAGGTGGTGTGAGATAATGTTGGAGAGACAGACAGGAATTGGCCACACAGGATCTTGTAGAAGAATTGAGAATAATTCCAGGAACAGGAGAAGCCTCTGAAGGGCTTTGAGCAGGGGAGACACATGACCTGAGAAGTCACCGTCTCCCACTCTATCTTAGTGACTTTAAATGCCTGTGTATATTATGCTAACCATGGTTCTTTATCTTTCCTGAGGACAGGATATGGGATAGGCCAACAGGGCAGAGTTTGATAAGCCATAAGGATAAACTTCCCTGTGAAATTCTGTCCCTGGAGGGGTCCAAGAGTGAATGACAGTGTCTTGCACCTGCCTTGAGGGGGCCGCACAGACATTCTGAATTCCATTACAACTTTATCTGAAATGAAATACCACGATTTCCCTACAAGGTTCATGACATGACGAATTTTTTTTTTTTTCCCCCCCCGCTTTGGATGTTTTGGTATTTTACAGCCTGATCTGGCACTGAGCTGCGAGATGAAATTTTTTAAAAGTTCAAAAAATGAGAGCATTAAAGCATTAATCTGCCTGAGAGTAGCAAAGTCATAGAACTCTTAGTAAGCCCATGTTGTACAGAAGACATTGTAGTTAAACCTTCAATTAAGAGCAGGTAGTATTCAGGTAACTACATACAGCTTCTAAGGAGGTCTTCCCAGCAGTCCTTAGACCTTAGCCCGAAGACCCAGGAGAGGACAGGAACACACTAAGAAGAGCTAAGAAAGTATCCAGGTCTCTTGGGTCAGAAAAGCATTCTTATTGTTTCTTTTGCGAATTTTGTTTTGAAGTCAAGAATATTACTACCTGGTAATGTCAGCACCCAACGATTTTATTTCTCTTTCTCTCTTTCTTTGTTCCCCCGTCCCCCCAACAAAGACAGGGTCTCACCCTTGCCCAGACTGGAATGCAGTGGTGTGATCATAACTCACTTCAGTTTGGAACTCCTGGGCACACGGAGTAGCTAGGACTACAGGTGTTTGCCACCATGTCTGGCTAGTTTTTTATTTTTATTTTTTTAATTTTCAGTATAGACAGGGGTCTCCTTATGTTGCCCAGGCTGGTCTGAAACTCCTGGCCTCAAGCAATCCTCCCACCTATGCCTCTGTCTCCCAAAGTATTAGGATTACAGGTGTGAGCCATGGCGCCCAGCCTTCTTTCTTCGATTAAAAATAAAAACAAATTTCTGTCTGTTAGTTGAAGGCTCAATATTTGCCCGTCAGTCGTTTCTTCCCATTCAGCTTACCCACGAATATTAAAAGGCAAAATAACTATAACTTCTGATAAATTTAGAAGATAAAATATTTTATGTATAATAGCTATCATTGAAAATCTCTTCAAGATCTGTGTGCATACTTTTCTTACCGTTGTAACTATATTGAACTTAACTTCTTTAACTACCAAGGACTCCAGATTCACCGTCAACTTTCTTCCCGCATTCACTCTTACTGTTCAGTTCTGGGTTAAAAGACAGCGGGGCCTGAACCAAGTGTCTACAAAGCTCAGTATTTGGAGAAACTTTGTTGTTGTTTTTTAAAATAACTTTTTAAAAAAAGGATCCCAGATATCTTGTTTTTTGTTTTTCTGTTTTTTTTAAAAAAATCTTTTTCTCATATACGAGAAATACAGGAAAGAAAGCAATCAGGTGAATCATTCTGGTTTACTGGATTCCAACTGGTAGAGAGTTTAAACTTAAAAACCAAACAAAACGAAAGAGCTCTTCAGTTACCTTACGTCGTAAACGAGTTAAACCTTTTGTTATTTCTGAAAAATCAAAGAGCACTGTCTGTACATGGTCATAACTGCAAAGGAAACAACGGCGTACCCAGGGCAGGGGGAGCTTACTTTAAGAAGCTGCGTCTTTCTGGATCCAGTTCCTTCGGGGCTGACCCTTTCAGGGAGTTTGGTTTTTAAAGCGCGGATCTCGCGACGCGCGGCTTGCAGGACCGCGGGGCCCGGCGGCCGAGACGCGGAATCCACAGGGGCGCCTCGGCGCGGCCGCGGCGGTGGTGGCGGGAGCCTGGGACGTGCGGGCTAGGGGCCCCGCATGGTTACCGTCCCCGACGGCAAGTTAAAGGCTGTGGGCACCGCGCAGAGCGCCTCCGAACGAACTCCCCCCACCCCACCTCAATCCTCCAGACCGAAAGTGCGGAACGCGGAGTCCTGCAAACTTGACCCCGAGCTAGGGTGCGCGCGGCGGCGGCGAGTGTCCCCCGGGCTTCCCGCACCCCCGGGCTGGAAGCGCCGGCCCCCGCGCACCTCGTACTCCGCCTGCACGAAAGCGAAACCCGGCCGGCGAACGGGAGGGAAGAACTCGGCCGCGCGCTCTGACCAGCGGGGCCCCGGCCCGGAGACATCCCCGACCCGCACCTGGCGGCGCGACCCACCTACCTGCCCGTCCCCACGGCGCCGCCAGAAGCAGCAGCAGCAGCAGCGACGGCAGCAGCGGCCGCAGGGCCGGGCTGCTGGGAGCCCGCATGGGCGGCGGGGCTGGGTCACATGTCGGGGGGCAGCAGACTGCTCCGTCCCATGCCCGCTGGAGCCAAGCGCGTCGGCGCGGCGCCTCCTTCTCTCCCGAAGCTCTGCGCGCGACGCTTCAGGCGACCCGAGGCCCAGGACCGAGGCGCCGCGGCCGCGTCCGCGTCCCCCGGGCTTCCGCAGGAACCAGGGGCGAGCGACTCGCGCAGCCCCCGCGCGCGCGTCCCCGACTACCCAGCTGGATGGTAGCGCGAGGGCAGTTCTCGGGGATTTATAGTCCCCAGCCACTCGACTGTCAGTCCTGAGACGCTGAAAGTTTCCACCTCTCCGGGCTCATGCCCAGACCAACCGAGTCACTAGGCAGGTAAAACCTTCTGGTAATGAGCGAGGTGAGCGCATTGCAAAGAGATTCTGGTATTTAGGCTGGTCTGATGGTCACTTAAAGTTCAATACCGGAAGACGGATGAAATGGAGAGTTATTTCTCAATATACAGTTAGGCACTCAGCCGTAGATCTTACAGTCATGCATCATTTAAGATGACAGGATTACCTCCTGAGAAATGCATCTTAGGCGAGTTTCTTGTGTGAACATCTTAGAGGGTACTTACACACACCTATATGGTATAGCCTCTTACACGCCTAGGCTCTATGGTACAGGCTGTTGTTGCTCCTAGGCTACAAACCTGTGCAGCAAGTGACTATGCTGAATACTGCAGGCAATTGTAACACAATGGTAAATATTTGTGTATCTAAACATGTCTGAACGTAGAAAAAGTACAGCAAAAGTACAGTATAGGGCACTTTCCATGAATGGAGCTTGCAGGACTGGAAGTCGTTCTGGTTGAGTCGGTGAGTGGTGAGTGAATGTGAACGCCTAGGACATCGCTGTGTAGTACTATAGGCTGTATAAACACTGTATTACACTTAGGCTACGCTAAATTTATTAAAAATTATTCCTTCAATAATAATAAATTAACCTTAGCTTACTATGATTTTTTACTTTCTACTTTTAAATCTTTTAAACTTTATTTATTTATTTATTTATTTATTTTTGAGACGGAGCCTTGCTCTGTAGCCCAGGCCGGAGTGCAGTGCGGGGATCTCGGCTCACTGCAACCTCTACCTTCCGATTCTGATGATTCTCCTGCCTCAGCCTCCAGAGTAGCTGGGATTACATGTGTGTGCCCCCACGCCTGGCTGGTTTTTTTTTTTTTTTAATTTTTTTTTATTTTTAGTAGAGACTGGGTTTCGCCATGTTGGCCAGGCTGGTCTCGAGCTCCTGACCTCAGGTGATCTACCCAACTTGGCCTCCCAAAGTGCTGGCATTACAGATGTGAACCACCACACCCGACCTAAACTTTTTGACCTGTAATAACGTTTAACTTAAAACCCAAACACATTGTGCAGCAGTATGAAAATATTTTTTCTTTGTGTTCTTTCTATAAGCTTTTTCTATTTTTCTTTTTCTTTTTCTTTTTTTTTTTTTTTGTTATAAACTAAGGCATAACCACACACATTAGCCTAGGCCTGCACAGGGTCAGGACTGTCAGTGCTACTGATGCCACCTCCACATCCTGTCCTCCTGGAAGGTCTTTAGAGACAATAGGAATGTTTCAGCTCCATTATAATCTTATGGGACCACCTTTGTATATGCAGTCTGTCATTGACCGAATTTGATTTCATTCAACTCTCACAACCTAAAATTAGGTCCTGGCCCAGTTTTCAGATGAGGCAAGGGAAACTGAGAAAGTCTAGGAATCAGCGTGAAGTCCCCCAAACCTGTGAGTGGCCTGTGACCAGTGGTGTGTGGACTTCCACACAAGGCGGTGTGTTCTAGGTTCCATGCTCTTCATAATGGGAGCGGGGAAGAGTGCAATTAAGAGGTAAGTCTTGAAATACTATATGAAAAATCCGAGAGAGGCTTGCAGCTTTGTACCTTTCTAGGTGGTTCTAAAGGTTGGGTGCAGCCTGTAGAGAGATACACAATTTACCTCAGATGTGTTCCATCTCTTTTGCCCTTAAATGCCTGTTTTCAAATGCTCCAATGATACTCCAATTAGAGCAACTATTGTTTTCTTTTTCTTTTTTTTTTTTCTTTTTTCTTTTTTTTTAAGTGGTCTTCAGTATTAAAAAAAGATCTTTTTAGGTGAGGAGGGAATAAGGAGATAGAGGATGGGGCACGATTTTCTGAGTTGCCTAAATATGCTACTTTCTCCTCCCTGAAAGACTTAGAAACAGAGGAGGAATCTGGATCAGAGGGCCCCTTAGGCTGAGATGTTAGTTTCGTGGTGCTGACGTGAGGCCTCTTCAAATTACTTTTCTTGTTTGTTAGCTGGTTCTTTTCCTTTCTACCAAAAGGGGCCCTGAAGGAATCCTGAAAGGTGGACGAGGAAAGAAGGAACTTGCTTCCTATTTATTTGCTGTTCTTGTCACTAAGGCCCCACAGTGCCTCTTTACCCTGGCAAGGACAACTAGTTCCAGGAGCAATTGTTTCTAGTTCCCAGCTCCTTCCTGTACTCCCAGAATCAGCTTCACTGCATCTCCTGAGAAATAACAGCACTGAGTAGGCTGTGCCCCATTCTCAAAGGTCTGAGTCCCAGTTTTGTGGAGGCTTTGCTTCTAGGATCTAAACCCCATGTCTGCTTCTAGGATCTAAACCCCATGATGGTAGTTGCTTCTAGTGGTCACTCTGTCTCTTTCAATCTCAGTATCCCCTTTTTACTTTTTTAGTACTCCAACATTTGTTTAACCAATTCCTTACAGCAGATTCTTTCTGTTGAAATGACTAGTGTGGTTTCTGTCTTCCCAACTGGATTCTTATTGATTCCATTGTAATCCTAGAACATTTTAGGAAGGACTCTGTGTGATCAGTACATTATCAATATTATCTTGAGTTGCTGTTGTTCTTACTTTTTAATTATAAATTGTATTAGTTTCGTTTCATCATTATTATCTTAAGTCTTGTGGGTTAAATAGGGTAAATGTTTGCTACAAAAGTGTTTGGGGCCAATCATTTTTAGATGTCTAAACTTTTTATACATTTCTGTTCAAATATGAATCGATCAGATCCTTCAAGAGGCTAAAGCAGATTTGTACAAAGCCTTCCCTTACCTCCTAAGCCTTCTGAACTTGCACAGTGACATTTCACTATTCCACCAAGTTTTTCCTCCAGCCGGGAAGTGGGAATGGGGTAGGGCATGGGGTAACTGCGACTTGGAGTTTCTTCCCTCATGAGTGGGCTGTCACTTGTTTGAGAACCAACAGTTTTCTGCATGCCTCTCGTCCCCTCTCTACTTTCCTCTTCAAGTTCCCCTTGGCACTTGTCAGAGGCAGTCAAAATTTGACCTCTAAGGCTTGTCTTTTACATATTCACAGACTCACCACTCTGTCCTCAGAATGCCTAAGGGTTCTGCAGGATGAGTGTGACCTGAGAACTTGCCATGTATGCAGTTGATGTTTCCCATGGATTGAAATAAAGAATGGAGTAATAGTTTTTCTTTTGTTTGCATCTGTGACCCAGAACTCACCTTAGCGGGTTTCCTTAGTACCTTTGCATCTAACCTCTTACCCACCTCTGTTAACTCTGGGAATTAGCAGTCCTGGTTCCTCCCCATCTAAGCCTTCCCAGGCAATATAATCTTTAGTGTGTCCTTCAGAGATTTTTGAAATGATGTTTTTGAATTGAGGTTTTCTTCTACTTCTCAACTTTACAACTCCTCTTGTCATGATTTACCACATTGAGATCTTAATTTTGTGGAACCTGATGTATAGGATTTCCGAGCTTCCTGATCAAAAAGGCCATAAACTACTACTCCTTACCTCCCACCCCAAACACTAATACCACAGACAAAAAATAATTTTTTTCTATCCTAGTTTAATTCCTAAATGGTTTCCAAGGATAACACATACTAATAATATGAAGTTACTGAATTCTTTCTTTGAGTCAGATCCTACCTAAGAAATTTAAATTTACTACCTCCCTCCTTCAATCCTGACAACAATTCTGAGAGTTAGTCACATTACCCCAAGTTTCAAAACAAGGAGACAGACTTGGACAGGTCATTCCTTTAATAAGCAACAGAAACTGGAAACTGAATGCTGGTTCATCTATTTTCAAAGTTTGTGCTTTTAATAATTTCCTTACATGCCTCTTACACTTGAGAAAATGTTATGATTTAGCTTTTATAGTTAGGTCTATAATACATTGAGCTAATTTTTGTATATGAGAAAAGAGTGAAGATTAATTTTTTTTATATAGATATCTTACTGTTTTTTGAGGTCTGAACTGTAAAACAGCATGAATATAATTGCCAAAGGCCTGATATCCAGCGTATGTAATGAATTGCTTCAAACAAATTAAAAACAAAGTAAAAAGACAATCTAATATTGAGTTTATATAGGTTACATACCAGTTAGTTGCCACTGTCTTCTTCTGAGAGAGGAAGAAAAACCCTAGCTCCCTAATGTCAACACATTTCTTGGAAAGTAAATTAATTCTCAGGAAGGTAAAGGGGAAAGTACCTACCCTGGAATATAAACATTTGGCTATGGTGGGGAGATAAATTTTATTACTCTTTCAATGAGACTAGATGGCTCCAGGTCTAACACCCTTGCAATGTGAGGAGCAAATGACCCTGTGGAAGAGGAGACAGTCTATGGCATAAACCATCCAGAAACGTGAACATATCTGTGTTTCCCTGCTGTCTCATTATTTGAATATACTCCATTTGATTGCCCATTCTCCAGTTGATAGACATTTGGGTTGTTTCATTATTGAGTTGTAGGTGTCCTTTACGTATTCTGGGTACAAGTTCTTTGTCAGATATGTGTGTTGCGAATATTTTTGCCCACTTCATCACTTGCCTTTTCATTTTTACAATGATGTCTGCAAGAGCAAAAGTTTTTAATATTGATATAGTCAAGTTTTTCATTTTTTTCTTTATGATTGTGGCGTCTCATGTAAGAAGTCTTTGTGTATCCGAAGGTTGAAAGATAGTTTTTCCTAGAAATGTTGTAGTTTTAGCTTTTATAATTAGGTCTACAATACATTGAGCTAATTTTTGTATATAGTATGAGAAAAGATTAGAGATTATTTTCTTTCCAAATAGATGTCTTACTGTTTTTGTACTGTTTGTTAAAAAGACTAATTCCACATTAAATTGCTTTAGCCATTATTGTTGAAAGTCAATTGAAGATATATGTATTGGATCTTTTTTAGATGTCTACTCTTTGGTCTCTTTGTCCATTTTGCACCAATACCATGTTTTAACAAAAGGAACTTTTTAGTTTTTATTTTTGTACTTGTATACTGAAAAGTTTCAAAGGCAGTAGTGCAGAGTTTCTGTACAATCCTCACACAGTTGCATCACCATGGTTCATTTCTAAAACTAAGAAACTTCCGTTTCCATTGGCACATTACTATTAAGCAAACTTAGATTTTATTTGGATTTCTCTAGTCTGTCTGTCTTTCTTTCTTTCTTTCTTTCTTTCTTTCTTTCTTTCTTTCTTTCTTTCTTTCTTTCTTTCTTTCTTTCTTTCTTTCCTTCCTTCCTTCCTTCCTTCCTTCCTTCCTTCCTTCCTTCCTTCCTTCCTTCCTTCCTTCCTTCCTTCCTTCCTTCCTTCTTTCTCTGTCTTTTGTCCC